GTTGTTTTTATCGCACTGCTTTGCTTTATCTTGGCCAGGTCGCAGTTGTAAATGAGAACTTGTTCTCATCTGGCTTACCTGGTTAAATAAAGGTTAAATAAATAAAAAATAAAACATTGAAAGGGTAGGTTTAATAGAGCAAATTAAATGTAACCATACTTTATAAGTCATACAGTGCCTTGCAAAAGTATTCATCCCCCTTGCTGTTTTTCTTATTTTGTTGCATTACAACCTGTAATTTAAATGGATATTTATTTGGATTTCATGTAATGGACATACACAAAATAGTCAAATAATTATAAAATATAAATAACGGAAAAGTGGTGCATGCATATGTATTCATCCCCTTTGCAATGATGCCCCTACATAACATCTGGTGCAACCAAATACCTTCAGAAGTCACATAATTAGTTAAATAAATTCCACCTGTGTGCAATCTAAGTGTCACATGATCTTTCACATGATCTCAGTGTATATACACCTGTTCTGAAATGCCCCAGAGTCTGCAACACCACTAAGCAAGGAGCACCACCAAGCAAGCGGCAACATGAAGACCAAGGAGCTCTCCAAACAGGTCAGGGACAAAGTTGTGGAGAAGTACAGATCAGGGTTGGGTTATAAAAAATATATCTGAAACTTTGAACATACCACGGAGCACCATTAAATTCATTATTAAAAAAAGGAAAGAATATGGCAACACAACAAACCTGCCAAGAGAGGGCCACCCACCAAGATAACCCTGAAAGAGCTGCAAAGCTCCACAGCGGAGATTGGAGTATTTGTCCATAGGACCACTTTAAGCCGTACACTCCACAGAGCTGGGCTTTATGGAAGAATGTCCAGAAAAAAAGTTGCTTAAAGAAAAAAATAAGCAAACACATTTGGTGTTAGCCAAAAGCCATGTGGGAGACTCCCCTAACATATGAAAGAAGGTACTCTGGTCAGATGAGACGAAATTGAGCTTTTTGTCCATCAAGGAAAAACGCTATGTCTGGCGCAAACCCAACACCTCTCATCACCCAGAGAACACCATGGTGGTGGCAGCATCATGCTGTGGGGATGTTTTTCATCGGCAGGGACTGGGAAACTGGTCAGAATTGAAGGAATGATGGATGGCGCTAAATACAAGGAAATTCTTGAGAGAAACCTGTTTCATTCTTCCAGAGATTTGAGAGTGGGACGGAGGTTCACCTTCCAGCAGGACAATGACCCTAAGCATACTGCTAAAGCAACACTCGAGTGGTTTAAGGGGAAACATTTAAATGTCTTGGAATGGCCTAGTCAAGCCCAGACCTCAATCCAATTGAGAATCTGTGGTATGACTTAAAGATTGCTGTACACCAGCAGAACCCATCCAACTTGAAGGAGCTGGAGCAGTTTTGCCTTGAAGAATGGGCAATAATCCCAGTGGCTAGATGTGCCAAGTTTATAGAGACATACCCCAAGACACTTGCAGCTGTAATTGCTGCAAAGGCTGGCTCTACAAAGTATTGGGGGGGGGGGGGGGGGGGGGGGGGGGGTGACTAGTTATGCACGCTCAAGTTTTCTGTTTTATTGTCTTGTTTGTTTCACAAGAAAAAGTTTTTGCATCTTCAAAGTGGTAGGCATGTTGTGTAAATCAAATGATACAAACCGCCCAAAAATCAATTTTAATTCCAGGTTGTAAGGCAACAAAATAGGAAAAATGCCAAAGGGGGTGAATACTTTTGCAAGCCACTCTATCATCAATGATACTAGGCCAATATAACATTTGTGAAGTCATAAACAGCTATTTTGTCAATTCAACCCCGGGTTAAACTAAAAATAGACAATACATATAGGCCTAGGGTTTCAAGCTTTGGTTGATTTCAAATGTTATCTTCAAGTTAATAATTAATATGTTGGAATCACATTTCCATCTCAACCTAAGTTAAAGAATAGGACTAAATCAAATGAAACTTCATTTAAAGCGCTTTTAAAATTTGATTCGATCTGATTTAGTCCTATTCTTTAACTTTTATTTTTGGTTGAGATGGAGATGTGAATCCAACATATCAATTATTAATTTGCAGACAAACTGGATATTGAATTTGGTTTGGTTGTGAGCACAACCAAATATCAACATTTGAAGGAGATATATCATCTTCTTTTAGGATAGTTCCATCTGTCCCACTGACTTAGTCTGGCTTTAATTCCAGTTTGTCTACAAATTAATCATTGATATGTTGGATTCACGTCTCCTTCTCAACCAAAAATCTAACTCAAAGCATAGGACTAAATCAAATCAAAAGTTTGATTTGATTTAGGCCTATTCTTTAAATGTTGATATTTATAAATAGCCTACCGTTAAGGCCATCTTGCAAACTAAAGTAACAGTATTTATTCAACGTTAAAATAATTAACACATCCATGGCCACATTTTGAGGTTACTGTAACTATAAATGTTCAAGATAGCATGCAAAGGTTGTAGGTCTCTGGATATCTTCAGTTGTTATAATAATACATGCGCAGAATCTCAAACAGCACTTGCACAACATCCTTTTAATGTAATCTCAACTGTAATCCAGGCCATTTTGGTTGTGCTATTGGATTAAGTACAGTGATAATACATTAAGTTGTTGTATAAATACAAAATATCTGACATTGTATTCCCATTTGAACCTTGGGCTAGATTCTATCAGATCCACGCCAGCCGAAACCCGTATAGTGGTTGTTTTGGCGGTGTCTGAGGTGGAACTGTGTTAGAGCTGTCAAATCCACAAGCGGCTCCCGGCATTATACCTAAAGTGGACATTGCCATTGGCTGCATGGAGTCACATTAAGAGAAATCCCATGCAGCCTTGTTTACAATCCACTGGGCACACACTGGTTGAATCAACCTTGTTTCCACGTAATTTCAATGAAATGACGTTGAACCAACTTCTGGGAAGGAGGCATGGGTAGGCCTGGGTGGACACCCCACCCACCAATTAATTTCTGTCTACACCCCTGACCAACGTGGAAAAGACATTGAATTGACGTCTTTGCCCGGTGTTAAATTCGCACACTGAAATGTGAGATGTAATCTACAGTCGTGGTTAAATGTTTTGAGAATGACACAAATACCAATTTTTGCAAATGCTGCTGCCTCAGTTTTGATGATGGCAATTTGCATATACTCCAGAATGTCATGAAGAGTGATCAGATGAATTCCAATTAATTGCAAAGTCCCTCTTTGCCATGAAAATGAACTTAATCCCCCAAAAAACATTTCCACTGAATTTCAGCCCTGCCACAAAAGGACCAGCTGCCATCATGTCAGTGATTCTCTCGTTAACACAGGTTAGAGTGTTGACGAGCTTGTCCGGAGAAGACAAGGTGAGCGCTACCATCAGTCCTGTGTCATGCCAACAGTAAAGAATCCTGAGACCATTCATGTGTGGGGTTGCTTCTCAGCCAAGGGAGTGGGCTCACTCACAATTTTGCCTAAGAACACAGCCATGAATACAGAAGTACCAACACATCCTCCGAGAGCAACTTCTCCCAACCGTCCAAGAACAGTTTGGTGAAGACCAATGCCTTTTCCAGCATGATGGAGCACCTTGCCATAAGGCAAAAGTGATAACTAAGTGGCTCGGGAACAAAACATCGACATTTTGGGTCTATGGCCAGGAAACTCCCCAGACCTTAATCCCATTGAGAACTTGTGGTCGATCCTCAAGAGGCGGGTGGACAAACAAAAACCCACAAATTCTGTCAAACTCCAAGCATTGATTATGCAAGAATGGGCTGCCATCAGTCAGGATGTGGCCCAGAAGTTAATTGACAGCATGCCAGGGCGGATTGCAGAGGTCTTGAAAAAGAAGGGTCAACACTGCAAATATTGACTCTTTGCATAAACTTAATGTAATTGTCAATAAAGGCCTTTGACACTTATGGAATTCTTGTAATTATACTTCAGTATACCATAGTAACATCTGACAAAAATATCTCATAACACTGAAGCAGCGAACTTTGTGAAGACCAATACTTGTGTCATTCTCAAAGCTTTTGACCACGACCGGACACCTCGATTAAGCTGATAGAAAACCTCATTATTTAGTTGAATGATTTTCAATTAATATATTTCTAAATATTATTTCTATATAGCCTACAATTTTTGTTCTGAACTTCTAACACGAGTGGGACGGGTGTTGCTCCGTGACAATGACCACACGAGCAGCCGCTCTGATTTGACAGCTCTAAACCAGTTGCACCTCTGACACTGTCAAAGCACCAACTTTGCAGGTGTCGGCTATCGCTGGTTAACGCTTGATCTGATCTAGACCTTTGGTTTGCTTTAAATAGTTGAAAGCGCAGTGATAACACATGCTGATGTCAACTAAACCAAAAAATCTTACATGTTTTTTTCATTGGAAATTTGGTTGTGCTTTTAGATGGTTGAAAGCATACTGATAACACATTGGGAATTCAACAAACCTCTGGCTGTCTTTTTGAGTGGGTGAATAAAGGTTGAAATCTTATTGCTCAACGTCTCAACCAAGTATTACCCAAATTTCCACCTTGAAACGACGTGGTGTGCCCAGTGGGAACTTTGTGGACTCTCAACTCATACTGTAGTCATAAAATCCTGCTACTGTAGATGTCTTTATGAATGAAAAAACAAAGTGCCACCGGGTACAACTTCATCTCTCTCCTACTACAGCCTGTTCTACACCATTACTTCCAAAACTCCAAAGAAAAAAAAGGAGGTAAGTGTAGCAGAGGGAGGGAGGGAAATGAGAGAGGGATAGGAGGATGGGAGAGAAAAAGAGGGAGAGGGAGACTAGTAAAAGAGGCAGGGAAAGGGGGCATAAGAAAAAAAGCCTTTTGGATTTCTCATTAATTCAGCATGTCCTTCCCTTCTACTTTTTTAGAACCCGCCCCCATTTCATTATCAGCAGAAGCCATATAAATGCAGCCTGTTGTTTTTGAGTTCCACTGACACACCACACTACATCCTATCTCAGAGAGGACCACCATAGGCCCAGGCTGCAGCCAAGATGAGAGAGTTCAAGAGCAAGGCTTTCTGGAGGGCCATACTGGCCGAGCTCGTGGGGATGATCATGTTCATATTCCTCAGCATCTCAGCTGCCATTGGGAACTCAAACAACACTGCTCCTGACCAGGAGGTGAAGGTTTCTCTGAGCTTTGGTCTGGCCATCGCCACGCTGGCCCAGAGTTTGGGCCACATCAGTGGAGCCCACTTGAACCCAGCAGTAACACTGGGCATGCTGGCCAGCTGCCAGATCAGTGTGTTCAAGGGGGTGATGTACATCATGGCTCAGATGCTGGGCTCTGCCTTGGCCAGTGGTATTGTCTATGGAACCCGGCCAGAGGGAAATGCTGCACTGGGGGTCAACGCTGTGAGTGGCACTTTTTGGTTCATGTTTTATACAATGCAAATTTGGATATATGTGGTTTATGTGTGTCCTTTTCAATTGAACAATTTACTGGTGTTGTTTCAGTAGAAATGTTGGCTTTCAATTCCATTTTATGGGAAGTGTTTGAATTTAAGTGTCATTTCTTGATCAATTAATATTGCATCTCATAGTCCTTGGCCAATAGTAATGCACATGAATCTGCATGAACTGCATTGATAAAATAGTTGATTGAACTTAGCTTAATTAGGTCTAGACTCAATTATTTTTAAAGGGACTCAAATGGGATGCCATTCATGGTTGATTAGAGTGTGCTTTGATGCACCGGCTGCAAACAGTTGACAAACAGAATCATGTGATGTTGTTTATGATCACACTAACTCATACTCAGCGTAGGTGCTTCTGCTGTCCTCTATCAAATATAGGGTGTACTGCTGCATGGTAATTACTTTTCCATGCCAGCAAAACCACTCACACGCCTCCTATAGACACCAATGTATAAGATATGTATTTTATTGAGCTATTCATACAGGATATCTATTTGCTTTAAAGTAATTCAAATGGATCTAAATTGGGCATTAGCAAAGTCTGTGAGAATATTATCAGTGATCGACATTTATTTTAATCATGTAAAATTTCAATGAGTGAGAAAACTGACTTGTTCAGACTTTTCCAAATTATAGTTAGACTATAATCAGCCTATTAGAAGTTTGAATTAGATTTTTCCTCCTCATCCTCCACAGTGAAGCTTTTGCTTTGCCAGCTATTTACAATAGGACATGGTAGTTGAGAAAAACATAACACTGATCCACACTGACAAATTGTTTTTGTTTGGTTCCCCCTTTGCCCCCCTCATTCCCTCTCGTAGCTAAATGGTGTCACTGCCAGCCAAGGCGTTGGCATCGAGCTCCTGGCTACCTTCCAGCTGGTCCTGTGTGTCATAGCTGTCACTGATAAAAGGCGGGGTGACGTCACCGGCTCTGCCCCCCTGGCCATCGGGCTCTCTGTCGCTCTGGGACACTTGGCAGCCGTAAGTAATTTATAGCAGTTTGTAAACAAGGTATCTCCTCTAAAACATGCATCTGATTGACAAAGCATAGATTTAGCAACACTGTTATTGTGATTAATCACCATTGAATTAAAGCTACATTTTACTCAGTGCAAATGTGACACCGTTTAATTTACCACTTAAACCTTAGGCCTAATCCTACAACAATGTCAGAAACGATCATTTCAACTGATTTCACTTCAGATCTTCTCATCCCTCATAATGTCTTAATACATTTCTCTGTTCTTGTTGTTGTTTTGCGCAGATCAGCTACACAGGCTGCGGTATCAACCCTGCCCGATCCTTTGGACCAGCTTTGATCATGAATGATTATACAAACCACTGGGTAAATTGGAGTGGAGTGGAGAGGGTGTGGGCAGGCGTGTGTTTGCAGATTCCTTGCATTTAGTGTGACATCAATGCCATGACCAGTAAATTCAATAAACCTCTAAAATGATTACCAAAGCTGAGCTACTTTCAATAAAGAAGTTACTGAGTGACAGCATCTCTATTGTTTCATTGTAAAGTCCAAATAAATAAAACAATTGAGAGCAAAGTTAACGTTAACCCTGTAATATTTGTCTTCAACCTGTCCTTCCATTGATTAATCGATTGACTTATTTCCACCATGGCAGGTGTACTGGGTGGGGCCAATGTGCGGAGGTGTGGCAGCTGCTCTGGTCTATGACTTTGTCCTGTACCCCAAGTTTGATGACTTCCCTGAACGCATGAAGGTCCTGGTCAGTGGCCCTGTGGGAGACTATGATGTCAACGGAGAGGAGACTGCAGCAGTAGAAATGTCATCAAAGTAGTATTGTGAGAGCAACACCATAGAGGGTATAGTACTTTAGATATCTATCTATACTCCTGTAAAGAAAACATTGACATTTCCTTTAGAATGGCAGCAGTTAAGTTGTTATTTCAAAATACTGATCAAGAATTTGGAAGAAGATTAGTATTTTTATTTTGTTGTGGAGAATTAGTAGGCCTGTCTCATTGAAAATCACAACACTTTTTTAACAAAACTACCGATTAGTTGCCAAACTCACTTAAGTAGCCTATTCACTTATATTTCTAAACACATTTTTTTTACAAGAGTTGTTCGAACAACTTGCTCTTTGTTAAAATATTTCCCATATCAGTATTCTATATACTGTATAGAGCCATTTGTTTTTGTATATTTTCTATGTACCTGTTTATGTATAAACATTTTATTTCTTGATGTATAAAGTATGTATTTCTGTTTGCACTCTTGAATTGTCTTTCACTTTTGTAAGTAAATAAAACACCAGATGTTCCCCTCCTGGCATTTTTTCTCTCTTCATAAACTGTATCCAGTCTATATTCAAACAGTACCCTTTTCATTTTGGGACTAGCAATGTCCATAGAACGTCAGAGCCAAGACCATTCATTTGGCAAAAACGTTTCTCAGAGGGTGGGGCCGGGAGAGATAAAGGTATTTTCACTATCAAAACTTTAGACTACAGCAACACCTTTGTTCAGGTTCAGAGCCAGTAGCCTTATCATCATCATCATCATCAGTCCATTTCCTTAACTAGAATGAGTTATCCTCTCTTCTGGTCATGAGTACGTTTACTGGACAAATATTAGTAACTTTTTACACAACCCAGACCAATCTGCATTTTATTTTGTTACAAAAAATAAAAACAGAGTGTGTAAGAGAATATGGGATTCAAAACAACTATTTGATTGTAAACCATTGTAAAGTTTTTATTACGTTTTTTTCCCTTCTTTGGGTGGGATGAACAGGAAATCAGAGGCGTGGGTCTGAACATTAACATGCATCGCATGCGGTGCGGTTTTGGAAACTTAAGGACCTTATCTTTCATATCAGTGAGAAATAATTTCCAAAAAGGTTACATTGATACACAGAATCGATTCAGGTTTAGATGGAGTACCTTAAAGCCTTTGAATGACCAAAACATCATCCATAATATTTGTACACTATTAAAATGCTCAGAATTAAAGAAATTCTACCTTTTCTCTCATCTCAGGAGGCCTGAAATAATAGGCTGAGTGGGCAGGGAGCTTATATTCATGAGCTTGCCTTAACTGACAGCTCTTCGAAACACCCTTGTGGTCGTTGCCAGGTAACAAGGTAAAAAATGGGCCACCTGTCATTCCGAGCCTAAATATACTGAACAAAAATATAAACACAACATGTTAAGTCTTGGTCCCATGTTTCATGAGCTGAAATAAAAGATCCCAGAAATGTTCCATATACACAAAAAGCTTTTTTCTCTCAAATTTTGTGCACACATTTGTTTACGTCCCTGTTACTGAGCATTTCTCCATTGCCAAGATAATCCATCCACCTGACAGGTGTGGCATATCAAGAAGCTGATTAAACAGCATGATCATTACACAGGTGCACCTTGTGCTGGGGACAACAAAAGGCACTCTAAAATGTGCAGTTTTGTCACAACACAATGCCACAGATGTCTCAAGTTTTGAGGGAGCGTGCAATTGTCAAACTGACTGCAGGAATGTTCACCAGAGTTGATGCCAGAGAATTGAATGTTCATTTCTCTACCATAAGCCGCCTCCAACGTCGTTTTAGAGAATTTGGTAGTACGTCCAACCGGCCTCACAACCGCAGACCTTGTGTAACCACGCCAGCCCAGGACCTCCACATCTGGCTTCTTCACCTGCGGGATCATCTGAGACCAGCCACCCGGACAGCTGATGAAACTGATGAGTATTTATGTCTGTAATAAAGCTCTTTTGTGGGGAAAACTATTTTTGATTGGCTGGGCCTGGCTCCCCAGTGTGCCCCTGCCCAGTCAAGTGAAATCCACAGATTAGTGCCTAATTTATTTATTTCAATTGACTGATTTCCTTATATGAACTGTAACTCAGTAAAATTGTTGAAATTGTTGCATTTTGCATTCATATTTTTGTTCAGTATAGTATACCTCGCCCCATTTTCTCTGCAAAATGCTCTCATGGTCAACAGAGCTGATCATGGACTGTTGGATATCAGACAAACAGCAGCAATACACAATTGCATTTATTGTTTTGTAACTAATTACAGAATACAGTTCACTGACACACTTCACAAGAATTAGTAAAGCCTGAGTCACCTTAGAAGCTTAGACATAAGGGAATGTACATGAAAACGGCATACAATAAGTGTACTGGAAAATGTATTGGTGCCGCTGCATTAGCATTATAAATGATTGTTTAGAATTGTATTGATCAGACATTTATTTGATCATTTACAATAGGCTAGCATAGCCAAAATATTGATTAACATGAACACTAATGAGAAATAATGGTGAGACATCATTTGACAGAAACAAATATTAGAGCCATTTGCTTAATATAGCCACCCGGCCACCCTACAGTGTGCAGGACCCCATCGATTTGTACAATTTGTAACACTCATCTCCTGTCCGAATGCTTGAAAAAAAACAATACAAAGTAACAATGTGATATATCACGCAGAAGTGAATTACTTAGGCTTTAGGAAATGCAACCATGTACAGAGATTGATGGGGAGGGGAGCAGGAGAGGAGGGGGACCCATGTACCCCACTTCAATCAAGCAGGCTTCAGTCACCCACCTGGCATCAGTCATCCCCAAGATTGAAGCAGGAGACAAATCCATCTATGGCCTCATCCTTATCAGGCCACTCACACTGGGCGGACAGGTGTTCTGGGATGGACAGCTAGCACAGCTTCCCCACATATGGCACTGGATCAAGGGTGACCTCGTAGCCTGTAATGTTTTTGAAAAGGGTAGTTTATTTTATTTACTGTTCTGAGTTATGATGCTATCAAATTTGAAATATGCAATATTTGGTTGTGCACTTTTTGGTGAAACTTTTCAATGTATGTACAGTGGGGGAAAAAAGTATTTAGTCAGCCACCAATTGTGCAAGTTCTCCCACTTAAAAAGATGAGAGAGGCCTGTAATTTTCATCATAGGTACACGTCAACTATGACAGACAAATTGAGCAAAAATCCCAGAACCACACGGGGGGACCTAGTGAATGACCTGCAGAGAGCTGGGACCAAAGTAACAAAGCCTACCATCAGTAACACACTACGCCGCCAGGGACTCAAATCCTGCAGTGCCAGACGTGTCCCCCTGCTTAAGCCAGTACATGTCCAGACCCGTCTGAGGTTTGCTAGAGTGCATTTGGATGATCCAGAAGAGGATTGGGAGAATGTCATATGGTCAGATGAAACCAAAATATAACTTTTTGGTAAAAACTCAACTCGTCATGTTTGGAGGACAAAGAATGCTGAGTTGCATCCAAAGAACACCATACCTAATGTGAAGCATGGGGGTGGAAACATCATGCTTTGGGGCTGTTTTTCTGCAAAGGGACCAGGACGACTGATCCGTGTAAAGGAAAGAATGAATGGGGCCATGTATCGTGAGATTTTGAGTGAAAACCTCCTTCCATCAGCAAGGGCATTGATTAAACGTGGCTGGGTCTTTCAGCATGACAATGATCCCAAACACACCGCCCGGGCAACAAAGGACTGGCTTCGTAAGAAGCATTTCAAGGTCCTGGAGTGGCCTAGCCAGTCTCCAGATCTCAACCCCATAGAAAATCTTTGGAGGGAGTTGAAAGTCCGTGTTGCCCAGCGACAGCCCCAAAACATCACTGCTCTAGAGGAGATCTGCATGGAGGAATGGGCCAAAATACCAGCAACAGTGTGTGAAAACCTTGTGAAGACTTACAGAAAACGTTTGACCTGTGTCATTGCCAACAAAGGGTATATAACAAGGTATTGAGAAACTGTTGTTATTGACCAAATACTTATTTTCCACCATAATTTGCAAATAAATTCATAAAAAATCCTACAATGTGATTCTCTGGATTTTCTTTTCTCATTTTGTCTGTCATAGTTGACGTGTACCTATGATGAAAATTACAGGCCTCTCTCATCTTTTTAAGTGGGAGAACTTGCACAATTGGTGGCTGACTAAATACTTTTTTTCCCCACTGTATTTGGAATGTGTGTTCCTCAAATGCTCAGTTGATATGAAATGCGTAACTATGACTTACAGTATGTTAGGTCTGTCTTCACAGTTTTCACAGAATATCCCACTTCTTTGCCTTGGGAAAGCTGATTTTTGTATCAAAGCATTCCTGCTGCGGTGGTTGCCTGAAAAGCTGTGCAGACAGTCATGTTGAATTTTCTAAAATCGCTATCATTACAGCTTGATGATGGTGGAAAGACAAAAGGATATAGAAAGTGAATTGAGGCTTTCCATTAGATGTTGGAACATTGCTTCTATTCAGAAAAGAGCATTAGTGTGGTCGGACACTGATGTTGGGCGATTAAACCTGGTCGCCGTTCCAATTCATCCAAAAGGTGTTCGAAGGGGTTGAGGTCAGGGCTCTGTGCAGGCCAGTCAAGTTCTTCCACACCGATCTCGACAAACCGTTTCTGTATGGACCTCGCTTTGTGCACGGGGGCATTGTCATGCTGAAACAGGAAAGGGCCTTCCCCAAACTGTTGCCACAAAGTTGGAAACACAGAATCGTCTAGAATGTCATTGTATGCTGTAATGTTAAGATTTCCCTTCACTGGAACTAAGGGGTCTAGCCCGAACCATGAAAAACAACCCCAGACCATTATTCCTCCTCCACCAAACTTTAGAGTTGGCACTTTGCATTGGGGCAGGTAGCATTCTCCTGGCATCCACCAAACCCAGATTCTTCCGTTGGACTTTCAGATGGTGAAGCGTGATTCATCACTCCAGAGAACGCGTTTCCACTGCTCCAGAGTCCAATGGCGGAGAGCTTTACACCACTCCAGCCGACGCTTGG